TGTGTGTGTGTGTGTGTGTGTGTGTGTGTGTGTGTGTGTGTGTGTGTGTGTGCATGTGTTCCTGCAGCAGAGTGCAGGAATGTACAGTATGTACATATGAGGCTTTGTCTGCGTCAGTGTGGCAGTTGCTCTAGAACATGGTATTAGACTTGCAAAGGGGGGTCAATGGGGATATGTGTGTGTCTGTGTGTGTGTGTGTGTGTGTGTGCGTGTATGTGTGCGCATGTGTGCGCGTGTGTGTGTGTGGACAGACTATGTGGGTTATGCTTCATTTAAACTACAGGCAGAAATGCACTGGAGGCGTTGGATGTACACATTTTGCACACACGCCAACCGTTCCGACTGACCGAGCTGCCCTGGAAATAAAAGCTGCAGAAGTTGCAGCAGATTCTGAATTTCATTCAAAGACTTGTGAACTAACGGATCCTCAGGTCATTTTAAGATAAACAAAAAGAGATGAAACTTTTGTAATTATAATATTAAGCTGCAGGCAGCGAACAATGATAATAACACTTTGCTAAGGAGGCAGGAGCGCATTTGGCAGCTATGGAGCACAGATTTTTATCTTTAGAAGAAGTTATTTGTAAGTTTTTGCTATCGCTACATAGCTAACATTAGCATTATCAGCTGTTTATTTACTAGTCAAGAAGAAACGTTGTGAGTTCAGCACCTTTACTCAACAACATCTGTCTCCAGAGGTGGAAACAAACACCAGTGTCTCTATCACGTCCTCTCTTCTACTGAAGTTAGCATGCTAACTAGCTAGCTAGCTAGCTCCGGACCATCGCGTCACTTTCCGATAGCAACTCACTGCAGCCTCCATTCTGTCCTGAAGACGTAGCTGCTCAGTCGGCGTATACAAACACACACACACACACACACACACACACACACACACACACATATATATAAAGTATATATATGTTATAAATTCAAAGATGGCTGAAGCTCTCGTTAAGCAACAATCACCACCACATGTAGCTCCTTTAAGCTAACGTTAGCGTGTCTTCTTCAGGGTTTAAAGACTGAAACTGATCATATCCTGTTGAAAACATTTGATTCATATTAATGATCAGACTGTGGAAGTGGGAAGGAAATAGGATGCAGTACAAATGTCTGACCTTTGACCTCCGTGCTACTAGATAGTTTGGTGGAAAATAGAGATGTTCAAACGGCCAAATTTTTGTCACCACATTTGCATCTGCAGGTGTCGACCTGCGAAGAAAATATATGTGCATTCAAAACACATACACACGTGTGTGTGTGTCCTCAGTCTAATGAGGTGGAAGACAAACACTGAACGTTCCACAGCATTATGGTTTCAGCCGACAGCTAATGAAGTGAAGAGATCCCTGGCACGCACGCACGCACGCACGCACGCACGCACGCACGCACGCACGCACGCACGTAGTAGTACAGTAAAGTATAAATGTGGTAAACTAAATGAATTCAGTTACTTCCGTGTTTCCTGTGAGCGGAGGAGACTTTAAACATGAGGAGGACTCTGACTGACAGTATTGAGACTGGGCCGCTGTCTGCTCCCGCTGTTCTCATCGGGGGCCGAGTATCGACGGCGGTGTCGCCTTCCCCCCGTGTGTTCGATACCTCTGTCCTCCGCTTCCTGTCTGCACGACACCCGACGCCACCTCTGTGTGTGTGTGTGTGTGTGTGTGTGTGTGTGTGTGTGTGATGCTGCAGTATTAGCAGGCAGAGTGGGTGAGTGGGGGCTAAGGTTGCATGTTGTTCTTTTCGTGGCAACGTTTTCTTGAGTGATGGATTCCCTGAGAGGATTTAATGTCGGTGGCAGACATGATCATGAACACACCGCACATCTGTCTCACTGCACATCTGTACGCAGGACTGTCACCACTTTGTTCATGAGAGAGACAGCAAGTCAAAGTATTTTAGGACACACACAAACACGCTAAACTGACTTTAAACACAACCCGAATCAAACCTGACACAAAAACAAAAATAAACGTCTCATTTCAAAAGTGATTTCTTCCTCTTGAACTTTAAAATCTGTTCTCGTCCGGCCTTGTACACCTGCAAGCGCTGCCCCCTGTGTGTGAGTCTGTATTTCAGCTTGTTGGGATGTGTGTGTGTATGTGTGTGTTTGAGTGAGTGTGCGTGTCTTTTAGTCCTAAATATAAGCTTGTCACAGCGTCCAGAGCAAAGCCAGTGGACAGCTCAGCTGAGGCAGAGAAATGGTTTTAAGTGCTGCCTCCCCGCTCACACACACACACACACACACACACACTTATAGTTAAGACCAACACTCATTTTCATGGGAGCCAGTGACAACCAATATTTCCTGCATATATTCAAAATCTTTAAAGCTGAAAACTGTCAGTACTTCGTGTTTCCAGCACATGGACACTAAAACTCTCCATCAGGGTAAAAACCCCAGCAGACTGCTCATCCTGCTCATCCTCCTCCTCATCATCATCATCATCATCAGATAATGAGAGATCATTCACTGCAGGTTCAGTGTAAACAGACTGAGGTTTAGAGTTAATCAGAGTCTAACGCAGGTTTTTATCGGATCACAAATCGTCCACACGACTCGACCTGGTTCCCTTCACATTTGTCATGTAAAAGACATATTCAAACAATTCAAGAGGAGTGTGAAGACGTTCTGAAGTGAAGATGTTGGATTAGCATTTCAGTGTGATGGGTATCTGATTACAACAGGTCTTATAACCTTTTCGCACCAAAATTAGCAGGAACAAGCAGCTTTTTAAATGAGAGCAGACGACTGACTCCTTTCACACTGCCAGACTAGACCTGCTTTATCATCACACGTCACATGGACATCTCCCTTTAGGCTGAATGGAGCTTTAAACACTCTGTTTCTGATGGTATCTGCTCTCCTCTGCTGTGACTGCACTTGAAGAGAAAAAGAAAATAGAAAACGTGCGCGTCAATATGACAGATGTGTTCTCTGTGTTGTTGCACCGGCGGGTGAAAGCAGCCGCTGTGAAGGACTCTGTTTCTTCAACGTGCCCTTTAAAGTGCCATATTTTGACTGAGTTGACCCCCCTTCCTAAAACACACACACACACACACACACACACACACACACACACACACACACACACACACACACACACACACACACACACACACACACACACACACACAGCAGCAGAAGGATCAGTCTGAACCCCTGTGGTGAGACGACACTGCTAACACACTTCCTAAAGACTTGTTCCCAGACTGTGTGTTTAAAGCTGCAACACACACACACACACACACACACACTTTGTGCCTGTGTGTGTGAGAGTGTGTACCTGTCAATCTGTCTTTACTGTGTGTAGACAGGTATCTCCGCCTGTTAATGTCTGTGTCCACGTCTCAAAGTGTGTTTTCTTTTCTTCGTGTGTGTGTCGCTGTCAGACTGTGTACGTCTGTCAGCGTGTGTGTGTGTGTGTGTGTGTGTCAGTTTGCATCTGTCTATCTGCATCTCCCACTGTCACTGTGTTTGTTTTACACGTGTGTGTGCGTGTGTGTGTGTGTGTGTGTGTGTGTGCTCACCCATGCTGTTGGTGGAGCTGCACCACATCAGCAGACAGCCGGTACACAGCAGGTTGAGTGATCCGAACAGCAGGATCCTCCACGACTGAAAACGACAAACAAACAAACAAACAAACAAAATAACTGTTAAAGGACAAAAACACAAGGAGAGGCTCCGCCTCTGGATCCAGGCCCAACAGATCACCTATCATATGTCTTTTTTTTATTTCCTTCGTTCATTATTCACACGAGCTGAAATTATGTTTTCTTCTGAAATCAGGAAACGACGGGAATCACCAGCTCACGGTTGAATCCCTCCGCCAACCAGCTGAGTCAGGAAATATAGTCACAGTCTCTCCTTCCTGGATTACAGCGTTGAATCACAACCAGAAGAGTTTTACAGAACATTATGATGTCACAGTGAAGTTGACCTTTTGGGTATAAAATGTGATTATTATTTTATCTTATTAGATATTTGGATTAAATCGTGTCATTACATCGTAACACAATTAGCAGATGAATTTGTGAGTTATGGCCAATAATGTGTTTTGTGAGGTCACAGTGACCTTTGACCTTTGACCACCAACTTCAGTTCATCCTCGAGTCCAAATGAACGTTTGCACACGTGAACGATATGAAAACAAAATGAATCATACTGCAGATGTTGCGATTTGGATACCGGACTTGATCATATTGAGATATCGATAATATTTCAATAAATTCTTCAGCCCTAGTTCGCACCAGATTTAAAGAAAACCCCACAAAGCGTTCTGAGATATCACGGTAACAAAAATGGGACGTACTGTATGTACGACACAAATCCCCACAGCTACATTTGATTCATAGTTACAGTAAAACTATGAAGTGTAGCTGCATCACCCAACATTACTCTTCTACTTTAACACTTAAAGATCAGTAATTATGGATCTTTAAAAATCCTTTTAAAAACTGTTTATTGAAGGTTTGTCTTCGAAACTCGAAGCAGCAGAGGTTGAGATACTCTGACTTTTAATCCCCAACCATGAGCCCATTAACCAATTAGTTGACTGGCGGAAAAATGAAACTATACTGACAATAAGTTAATCGTCATTTTTCAGGAACATATTCAATCATTCTCTGGTTCCAGCCTCTGAAGTGCGACTCGTTTTTCTCTGTTTCATATCACAGTAAGTTTAAAAGGTTTCTGTTTTAAATCTGTCCTCAGACGTAGACGACCCTGATGACAGAAACCTCCTCCACAGCCACAGAAGACATTATACAACTGTTCTCACAGGCTGCTGCTGCTGCACAGGGTTTCCCTGACTGTCAGTCAGAGTCCTGGGGCAGACACTCTGGCAGGTGACCAGCCGCTGTCTCATCTAAATCCAAACCTACAAACCGATTGGGAGCTGCCGGGTTTTGGCTGCTGGATGAAGAGTGAGTTTCCCGCCCCGCGGTCGACCTGCTCTGCCGGGGATTTGGGTGAATTCTGCGAGCGAGCGAGTCCCCGGCCGTGTGGCCTAACATGTCTACTACAGTCTGAATCAGTTCATCACAGAACCAGCAGCTCAGGGGAAGGTCACGATCAGAGAACGAGAGAGGAGGAAACAGGCTCAGTGCTGTGAAAGAGCAGCTCTGATCATCACTGATATCAGCTGTAACAGAGCCTCATTATTTCATTTAGATCTTAACGTCGTTAACTCCAAGAGAAATAAACACACTGAATCTAAAATACTGAAAATAAACAATTAAAGGGACCTGATGGTTTATTACTAATCATGTTCTGTATTAATCTGAGAGTCTACAGACAGAAACAAAACTCACAAAGCCCAAATCAGAAATCAAGACATATTGACGCTTGATGGATTTATTTTAAGACATTTTTCCGACCTACAGAAACCGTCTTAATCAAAATAAATACTGTATCCTGTGAAGAATAAAGAGAACCACTCCATTGTTCTTTAGAGCAAATAACAGCTTCATATTGTATTTAAGGGACTAAGGGTTATATTTATTCATACAAATAAAATTCAACTGAAATGAATAAAATATATAATCATCATCTCATTTAAGAAAAGCTGTGGTATTTATATGACCTATATATATATATATGTGTGTGTGTGTGTGTGTGTGTGTGTGTAGAGAGAGAAGAAGAGGAACATCTTCCACGTCAGTAATGATCTTGGCAGCTTGACTTCGATGCGAATTGATAATGAAAATTACAATACACATCGTGGTATAAAGTTTAGTTTTACTTTAGTTTTATTTTGAAGCTCAGGTCTCTTTACACACTCGAACGTGTTCATGTAAATAAACAGCCAATCACCAGGATCATCAGGTCTTGGTCCGAGCGTGCTGCATGCTGGGTGCGTGGTATCACTTTGGCAGATATTGAGATTTCAGTTGGAATGGATGTTTTTGCATTTTAATTTTCACAGAAAGTTTTTAAAATGATGATGTTGTGATTGTTGTTGTATCTTGTACCAAACGTCTGGAGAATATGAACAACAGCTGACAATGCACAACAATGTGACACATTTTACCTTTAGAAAAAAAAGCATTTGGATTTGGGATATTGCACTTGGACATGTTGCGGTTTCGATTACATTTCTATTAATTGTGCAGCTCTACTGCATGCTGATTGGCTCTCTGACGCAACAAATGATGAGGCATTTTTTGATCCTTGATCGTATCAAACCAATTCGGTCTAAAAAAAAGTATAGATGTTCGATAGTCCTACTTATATATACTATACTACATACAGGAAATACCAAACTATGACATCGCTCTGCAAGTGAAGGTCTGGTATAGGTAACTAAATCTACTTGGTTATGGTTATGGGAGGGGGCAGGATGCGACCTGCGGTTTCTGGTGAGCGAGGTTTTGAGACGGTCACACCAAACCGCCGTCATCACATGACCACAGCGAGAAAAACATAATCCAAGGTTGTTTAAGTGTTTTAAATAACTAATGATGTCATTTCCTGTTGCGAAACAAAGACCAGTTAGCTTAGCTTCATGCAGTCTGTATCTGAGCCCATTCAGCTGTTCTCACTGTTCCTCCTGCCTGGACGTAAACTCAGCAGAATTTTCAATGAAGAAGAAAAAATAAAACCTTGAATCTAAACTCGCCCTCTGAGCAGAAAGAGAGAGAGAGAGAGAGAGAGAGAGAGAGAGAGAGAGAGAGAGAGAATTTGTGTGTGTCACAGAGGGAAGAAAAAAGAAATGGAACAAGGGAATGAATATATGTGTGTGTATATAAGTGTGTGTGTGTGTGTGTGTGTGTGTCCTGGCCTGTCACTTCGTGTTGGAGTCATATGCCGTGGTGGGGAGCGCCGAGTGCTGTGAAATCTACAATTACTGTGGTGTGCTGTGTTATGACAGCACTGGGGCGTCTGGTGACAGCACTAGCCAGCGACAGGCATGGGAGACCCACAGTGTGTGTGTGTGTGCACGCATGTATGTGTGTGTGTTCGTGCATGTGACTGTGTGTGCAAACAGAGAGACAGCGCTCAGCCCAAAACATTCCCAACCCCCCCCACCCACACACACACACACACACACACACACACAGTGCCTGGAGGAGAGTGCATGGCTGTTGAATCCTGACGCTCTGCTGCCCCCGTCTGTCCGTTAGCGGCGTTGCCAAGCTGTCTGGCGGCATCACGGCGTGCCAGCATATTGAGGTTACATGTGACATTGGAGTGACAGAGCTGCAGCGCCGATACAGCGGCTCAGTCACCAGGTACTGTATTAAACAAGGAGCCCCCGCTGATGCCAGGCCTGATTACATCATCGTGGAGCGCCACGCCAAGCTGACGCATCATCGGGCAGCGCCGGGCAAATGTGTGTCATCATGGTGAGCAGAGGCATGACTCATGTTACCGTCTGAAGAAGGAGGGGTAGAAAGAAGGAGAGGACAGTTTCACTGGGTTGGGAGAGTGTGCAGGGGGGGTTTGTGGGACTTTTTTTTAAGCCAACTGAAACCTGCAGCCGCCGCCGCCGCCGCCACAACCCGCCAAGGCTCGCTTCCGGTGGCAATGATAACACAGGAAACGTCCTCTCCTGCTCCTCGTCTGCTCAGATTGGTGCCATCAGGGCTCCGTGTCTCCAGGGTAGCCGTGTTCTTCTCTCAAAATAAACCTACTTACATAATGAATCGGCGGCGGTGACGGCGGCGGCCTGTTAACACGGGCGGTGCAGTTTTCCGAATGGGTTGCTGCAGCTGAAACGAGATGACGCCTGGTCCGCTCGCTCTCCTGTCCTCCAGTCACGTCTTTCCTCTGCTCGTGGTCTGATGTTCCAGTTTCATCAGGACATTCTGTCACTGCGACAGTGGCCGAGTTTCACCGTCCAGCACCGTAAACATCCGCCGTACAACGCACACCAATCAAGGCTGTTATAATAATCAATAATTAATAACAACCAATAATTCTCAGTGTCACGATGATAATATGTTGATCTGATAAACATTTTAGTCTCACTGACTTCCTCCTGCTTTAATCTGAAATCACACACTTAAAATCTCAAACTGATTTGTTCTGCAAAAATATTTTCTCCTTCATACTCAGACTGAAACTTCATTATAGAGAACGTTCTTCATTATAGAGCACGTTCTTTATTATAGAGAACGTTCTTTATTATAGAGAACATTCTTCATTATAGACAATGTTCTTTATTATAGAGAACGTTCTTCATTATAGAGAACGTTGATTATAGAGAACGTTGATTATAGAGAACATTCTTCTTATAGAGAACGTTCTTGAAGAGGTTTGTCAAGTCAAGCAGGGTTGAATGAAGAGACACTATTGAGTTGCATTATGGGAGTTGTAGGCTCTAGTCTTCAGGAGCTTGAGCTACACTGGGAACTAAAAGGTCGGGATTTTTCTGCCTCTTCAGCTTTAACCAGGTCTGTATTTTTAAAAGTCCTCCAACTGCACGGAAGAGCAAAATTAAATCATTGAAAATAATCTTGAGAAAGACGTTTTGTCTGTAAGTGAAGTTAATGGCTTCTACTTGAGAAATTGCTCAGCATCATTCAACCTGTGACTTTCATTATGCATTATTCTTCTATTTTTGTCCGTGAAAAAGAAATGCAAAAATGAGAAAACTTCAAAACCTGCAGATGTCAGAGAGGTGAGCGGGGATCTGGTTTCCAAAACTGATCATCATTTGAAAAACAAGAGCTTTGTTTAAGGCAGACAGAGGCCTTTAGATCTGGAAGCCTTTCAGGTGAAAGGTGAAACATCTTCGAGAAACTCAATCGAGTCCAAGTCCAGTTTCCTCTGTAAAGCTCCAACAGACACCAGGACCTGGATGACTGAGAATCTCCACAGACACATCACCTGTCCGTGTTAAAGTACCTGCATCAAGCTCTAAAAACTCCTCCACTGGTCAAGCTGCACCTGAACTCAGATGTTGACAAGACCTCGGTTTTATTTCACAACACGGAGGGAAAGAGGAGACGAGAGGGCGGCGAGGGCGGTCAGGTGCTGAGGAAGCACATCTCAGCTTTCACCGGTTTGAACTATGTTTGGTCCCTAAGCTGTGTACGACACCGTGTAATCCAATCCGAGGCTCTATGGGGAAGCGAGACCCCCCGCCAGTGTGTGGTCAAAGTGGATTATAGCACAATAACGCTGACACACGCACACACACGCACAAAACAATAACGTCTGAGCTCCTTTCCCGTTCATTATCATGTCTCCAGTGTTTTCACTGTAATTTTTAGTACGACTCTACATCTGTCCCTGTTTTGTTCAGACGCATTACGACTTTTTTTTCCTCAATCTACTCTAATTTTGTAGAAAAAAAATTGAACTAAACATGTTTTTTGTTATTGGGACATTAGGACAAAACTCTCTCCCTGTTTTCAGAGCAGTGAGTTTAGTGTCGTTGCTGAGGTGATTTATGTTCTGTGTATATTAATCACAACACTACAGAAATCACAATATGTATATTATATTATAATATAATTAATATATATATATATACGGTGTGACACTGTATGTAAGAAGCATCTGGCTGTTTGGTTTATATGTATTTATGTATATTTCACCTGTCGTCATTTTACTTAAAATTTATCTGACTTGCAGAAAAACAAACAACAGAAGCTTTTGAGCAAATCGGTTATCCTGCAGAGGTGGTTCATGCAAGTTTTGGTTTCTTTTCTCACAGTGAAAACTTTCATTGTTGCCGACATGTTTTCTGTGAGGGATGAAAGTATTAAACGCTTTAACAGCCACCAACCAAATCTGCAAGGTGTGAGGGTTGGATACACAAAAGATAAATTTTGGGAGGAGCAATAAAAGTTCTTCCTGTTAGAGCGTAAGGATTCGGAAAGAAATAAAAAAGGAAAATACAACATTCAACAGGTGAAAATGTCCCAAATTAAAACATCAAGGATCCGTGCATCACAGCAAATAAAAGACAGAATATACAGAGATGAAGAGCAGAGTGTGAATCTGCTCAAAGACTACAGGTCAATCTGTCAGAGTGAAGCAGCGTTCAGCTCGTGGCTGATGGTATTTCACTGTGAGGACTTCATCCTTGCTGCTTTCACTGGAACATGGTGACCTACTAGGAAAACAGGATTACTGCAGGTGTTTGGGTTTGACTCTGTGTATGAGACACAGAATCCAACCAGCTTAGAGTGTAATGGGATTGTAAAGTGAGGATTCTCCAGATAATCACTGAAAGGAGGTCTGGACGATACAGACGACACGGATCTGACTGACTGATAATCGACAGGATGGTGGCAAAAAAATACCAAAGATACAAACATAACACACACACACACACCTACCCGTCTATCTGAGGCCACCAGTCTGAATTCTTGCAGGAGTTTCCCAAAGATGGATCTGTGCGTCTTCCTGAATGGATGGATGGTGCCCTGCAAAAAAAAACAAAAAAACATCAGAATAATAATTATTAAAACTAATTAACTAACTTTTAATGTGGGAACAAATAATAAACCTCATGTAATGTGAAGAGAAATAAAATGCCAGATAAAACAGCTCTGTGTAACCGTCAGGAATGACATTTAAATTAGCTTCAATCAGGTTCATCAGGTCTGTGATTGGAAAGCAGAGTAGGAGGTAAAGCTTGAGCTACAGCACCACCATGTGGTGTGTTGGTGTACAACACTGACTTATTGTAAATGTTTTTGTTAATTCTTTGTTTCTTAGTTTCTTGTGTTGGAAAAAGATTTTAATCTCAATGAGACTGTCTGATTAAATAAAGATTACATTAAAAAAAAAACTCTTATTGAAACAATCCAGATAAGAAGGAAGAAGCTACCATCCTAAAATCTGCAACAACAAAAAAAATCAGCAAATCAGAGTCATATCTGGATTTTATATGACGTTTCTGCAGAATGATGTTCGGCTCCATCGTGGTCATTCCAGCTCACAACATATAACAGGAAGCTGAAAGTGACCAACACACCAGACTTTCTCTTTCTAAATGAGGCTGTTGACTGTGGTGGGTTGGGACACAACACAACATAGTTTATTATACAATTTATTTTGGGGGGAATCTCAGTGTCATTATTCCTGGATGTTCTCACCATCACTTAATAATTAAACTGAACTGAAGGTAGAAAAGTTGCAGAGTTCAGACACAAACTCATGATCATCACACAGTTTCTAACAGGTCTAAGCTTTATTTTTATAGCACCTTTCAACAAACAGGAAACTCAAAGTGCTTTTACATAATACAGACACCTGCAGAGCTTCCATTTAAAGAAGCTTCAACACGAAGCAGAGCTGTTTCTCTCAGCAGCTCCACACTTCACGACAAAGTTTCTTTTTTTAAAATCACCTTTTCAAGAATTTAACAGCCAGTCACGCAACAACCATGTGACAACGGTTTTCAACAGAGACGTCTGACCCGATACAACCCAGAGTCACTTTCAGATGCTGCTGGAGTTTGTTCTTTTCTAAGTGATGCAAGAGATCCAGCAGGTTCACGTCAGCACATCTGACTACACAAGCACCAAGTCTGACCTGGTTCAGGCTGAGATACGAAACATCACCAAAAATAATCAATATGTAATCATATGTTGGGCTGCAGCTAATCATTGTTTTCATTATCCATCAAGTCTTCACTGTAACTTAAGGTAAGAAAAAGCAGCAAACTCTCTCATTTGAAAACACAGAACGATCATGTCTAATCATGACCTTCCCCAGAATGTCTGGTTGATTTATTTTCCTCCATGTTAAAAGAAAATAGTTTTTATGTGCAAAACAATAAATAAGTGTTTGTATATGAGACATACACAAACAGTGTGGTCGTCTTAATTCCACCAGCTGTGAAGCAGTTGCAGTTTGACTCTGTTTTCATGCTCACGCAGTGTTGAACCTGATTTACCACTGTACAAAAAGTGAGTGTTTTCTTCTGAAAACAAAAGCCGAAGGAAACCGAGCTGGAGCCAAGACACCAACACCAGCACTGTGTGCAAAGCATCTATACCTACACTGTGAATTCATAAAGACTGGGGCCGGTTGCAAAAACACCTTAAGTTTTCAACTTATGATACTTAAGTTTTAATTTCTCCTTAGCTGAGGGAGTTACTTAAGGGCGTTGCAAGAAAATCTAGTCAAAGCTTTCCTTAGAAATTTACAACATTGAAAGAGATTTTACAGCAGTAAAATTCTACTGTTTCCATGGAGACTGTTGATTTGCTGCCATTAGCCATTATTACTTGTGATACCTGTTAGCGCATCATGCCGATGTTTTGACGGGAGTTTTCACCACGGTGAAGTTTGGTTGTTAAGGTTTAAGTGATTCCTGAAGTTCAAGACTAAGATAACAAGAAAACCTGAAATACTTAAGTGGTCATTTTAAGGAAACTTTAAGGAGAAGATTTAAGAGTGTTTTGTGCAACTGTTTTTATTTGAAATAAATCTTAACTTATTTTAGACTCACACCTCTTAATTTAAGGTGTTTTATGCGACCGGCCTCTGGTGTTTTCACAGTCCTGACCTGTGCTACTGTCAAAGACTCAAATCATAACAGGAGCTTTTCAAACGTCAGTTAAAATTACGCACATAAGGAACATCAGTCAGCATCTTCCTCAATAACAATAATGCTAATGACACAGTCGTAGCCTCTAAGTCTTTGTCAAGATTAAATAAAGAAAACAGAGCTTCAAGTCTCTTTCTTCAATCATACTAACTCAACAATTACCTTCTCCTGCTCAAACTGCCGCTGCTGGAAGCTGTGTGAGCTCCAGCTCTTTCTGGAGGGAATTTGTGTGCATGCGTGAGGACTAGTTGTGATAATAGATCTTGAAATAACAGATAGACATCAACCCTGAAACACAATCTAACAGATAAAAACCAACAAAAGCGGTAGAGTCACTCACCAAGACGTACGTGTCGTGCTCATGCTTCTTCCTGTGCAGAGGGACATCTGTGGAAAAAAAGAGATGCCACTGTCAACATGTTCAAACAAAACAATCTAATCACAGTGAGGTGAACAAGACCGTCAGATGCTCAACTCCGGGGAGTTTTTTTGTTTTTGTTTTTGATAATCAATATGTTTCTTTGCTTTACATGAAGGACAGGAGTTCAGAGTCAAGATCAGCTTTTACTGTGATTTCCACACAAATGTATGACAAATACACAGGGTCATGACATGTCATTTCTAATGGACCACAGTCCAAAACAGAACAGATTAATTAAAGACAAAGGCAAACATTAAACAACATTTAATATGTCCAAAAAACTAAATAACATTGACAGATATTATCAGCATTAGTAGTTCCACTTCATTAACAGAGTTGGTCTTATTTTCGTTGATTTTCTGTAGATTATTTTTATCAGTATAATAATAACACTGTGCACACCAAGTTAATAGCTTAAGTACCTTGAAGAACTGTGTGCACTTGTACCGAGTAAAGCAAAAATTCTGTTTTCTTCGCTTTGTATGAATTTAATTGAGAAATAAAAGCTATTCATGACGTTAAAGCATCCTCACTTTACTTTTGGTGCCTAAAACATTTGCACATACAGATGGTGACACATAAGAAAGTCAGTTTCCGTACACCACACTGCACTGAGATGGAGTAGGTTACAGTAAGAACTTGTTTTTCCCAGGTCCCTTGAAAAGCCACCAGTATAATATAAGTAAAATCATAACACGGTGGTCTCACGGTGGTATTCATTCAACTTCATTAATGTCAAAATAAGCATTGGAATCTATATTTATTGTTATTAGATTCGACCTACACCACCTACACTTGTGAAAAACTTTTAAACTGTCCAAAAGTAATGTAAGGTAAAATAAACTGCACTTTGTATATAGCTAATTAATAAATAAAAATATTAATGGCATTATTTTGAGAGTATGCTAAATTTAATTTAAGTGTCTAAAACTTTAGAACAACATTGTATAATGATATTCTTATTTTAAAATAATCCTCCATTTTATAAGATTTCACTAAAATCACCAACTCCTGACACAGACAGACGCGAATCAGTTGGTGACAAGATTTCCTAACAGGTGAGTTAAACAATGAGAGCCAAATACACTGTAGTTAGCTTGTTTGTCTTCATACAAGATACAAAATACAAACTTAACAACAACAAATTAAATTTCAGGGAAGAAATTATGTCAATATCTACGTCATATCTTGCTTTGTATTAAAGTATAAACCTGTCGTTTCAGCGTTTTAGGTGATTTAGACGTTAAACTGCCTCCGCTGGTTTACAGGACTCACAAACGTTAACGTCAACACACAACATTCAAAGGCCCTAGACGGACACACCGAGCTGGTTTACACTGGTTTAAACTGACCGTTAAGAACAGTGTTAATGTTAATTCTGTCGTTATAACCGAATTACAGCGGGAATAACTGAGAACCAGCGAAGTTAGCTCAGCCGCCCGTTTGAATACGTGTTATTAGCCGTTAGCCTGCTAGCATAACAAACCTGAATCCTTGATGTTAATCACATCCACCGACACCATGTCAGGTTTATCCAGCGGGCCCACCTTCCTCTCGGTCACCCCGGACGGCACCACGTCCGGCTTCGAGCCGAACTTTCTGGGGTAAAAGTCCCCGGCATTGTGATAAGACAGACCCGAAGACGTGGACATCATCCCCTCCATCGCCATTTTGGACTTCCTGTTCCCGTGAGCCTCTTTCATTTGGTTGCACAGGCGCATGCGCCAACACAGATCTATATGTCATTGACTTGAACCATGTAGTAGTGACGGTTCATATACTATAGAGATCTTTTTTATTATTTAAATCCATATTCCGGTCACTGGAAGACCAGGAAAATATATATAAAGGAAATTTTAGAAATAACAAAAATAAAAATTGATTTTGGTAAGACTTTGAGATAGTAGTTATCAATTACAAAGGTGTAAATTTAAAGAAATGTTGTCATGTCATGAGCCACAATTTCAGCAGAAAATGAAATAAAATAAAATGAAATCCAGTAATAATAATAATGTACATTACATTTTTTCTTTCCGCACAATAAAGAGATGTGGAGCAGCATAATGCATTAGAAAATGTTATAAAAACATTCAAGTATTGATTCCAAAACTCAAACACATAACAAATTAAAATGCTAGTAGGAGTTTATTGTAATAATAATATAGTTCATTCGGAATTTTAAAATGCACATCTGTGGCTTTTAGAGCAATTAGTGGAGTAAAATCAATTAGTCAATAGACAGAAAAACTATCAGGAAATATTTTGATCTTTGATCATGAATTAATCTTTTCTGTAATTTTTTAAGCAAAAATACCAGTGTCAGTTGTGAAGATTTGCTGCTTGTCTCCCCATCCTCATATCATTCCTTATCAGTGTTATCCTGTGAGCCCACAAGAGGGGTCACTGTAATTCAAATTGTTGTCCATTACTGTTTCAACAGTTGCCTCCAGTAAAAACCACAAAGACCAACTCCTGTTTTCAACCTTTTGTGGAAGTGTGTTTATTTAGCTGCGTAGCTGTGCGCCTGCATGCATGGTGAGCTCAGAAGTTTCAGGTTTGAGGGATGGGGTTTGAGCTGTTAGTCATCTGATTGACAGCTGCAAACACAGGCCATACAATGATACCAAAATCTAAAATTTAACCATTATGCAGCGTAAACAATAACATGTTTAAATGTGCAATGCTGTGGAAAGGTTTAAATAAACTTAGAAACACTCAAAAATAATGCTGTAAATATTTGCTGTGACCACCCTTGCATTTAAAGCACGTTCAGTTCTGTTATTTTTATTGAAAATGTAAAAACCAAATCTTGTTTTTTAATGGTTCCTTGAATAAAACCTGCAAGTAAGATTTAAGGAGACATGTTGTCAGAAAGGTGTGGGGGATGAGTGGGTGCTCACCCATCTGACAGAAAGTTCAGATGATAGTGATCATACTCCGCTCTGAGTCTAGTGACGCCATTAGTTAGTTTATTAGTTCAAACTGTGAGGCCTGCAAAACAATTTACTATATGAGATGTAAACAGAAAATTGACATTGAATGAAGGTAAACAAGCAGGATTTACTTTATTAAAAAATAATTTACAACGAAGAACCACAAAAAAATATATACATACAGTTGTGGTTAGACACTATTTATAAGCAGGAAAAAGTCAAACTTGCAGAAAACAGACCAAATAAAGATCTAAGAATGAGAGAGATGTGGTTATATTGGCAGAGTGATCATGCTGCTGATTATCTTTAAATAATATAAGGTTTGTTTTTGTGATTAAAGTGTAATAATGATATACATGAACTTTTTTATAGAACATTTTATGTACATGTCTTGAAGCTTTCACAGTGCACCGCAGCAAGTGAACCTACAGTTAGATGTCTTGTAGGAAATCACGTGAGAAGACGACAGTATCTGTCTTGTCTCTATTTCCTCCATTTTCTTTTTCTGTTTTTCTCTCTTTCTCTGCCTACATGGAGCGACTGTGTATAAGTTGTCATCATTCATGCTGTTGGTCTGTTTCTATCATCGCTGTCCATCCTGCAACGACACAGAGAGGCCAACAGCTTGTCTACAGCTCCTTTCCTACTGAAAACATACAGGAACACGTCTGCAAGAGGACTCAACCTTACAAACATGAAAGACACATGTCTGAGGGCATCGTTATATTTGTCGTCTTTTACAAGGAACCAAATGATGGTGGGCAGGAACAACAGTGTGTAAATAAGTAGAACCAAAACCAGAATTGCAACAATTCGTCGTTTCTCATCAGCAGGGACACTAATGGCTGCAGACAGGGCTTTAACGGTCCCACGCAGGAAGAATATGAACAGAGGGAAGGGAAGGAGGAAGAAGACTGCAAAGATGGTATGTGTCACCTGAGAATATTGCAAGAAATGGACAAATACTAAAAAGAATAGAGGAAGGGTCCAGACCACGACACAGACCACTACAGAGGTCTTGATGGTTCGTCTGAAGCGGTACCACAGCGGCCAGGCGATGACCAGATACCTGTGATACAACATAGACACACAGATTCTTTGTAGAGCTTCTGAATTATATTATATATAATACAAACACTATATACAGTATACATATATAAAAAGGTCAGACATGTAGCTACACAAATACTGAATAAACTGATAGCTACCTTTCCATGGCGACACACATCATGAAGCCAACACTCGCCGTCAGACCCCAGAAGTAAATAAAAAAGAAGATTTCTGTGATGATCGAATCCTCAGGTAGTACCACTTCAACAATCATGCAGCAGAGTTGAATGAGGTCAGAAATCAGAAGGTTGATGATGTAGATCGGAGCCACGTGATCGTTTCTGACCTGCAGGAAAACATTGGTAGAAAAAATCATGATCTTTGCTGATGACACGTTGTCATCTTACTCTGCTCAACATTTGCAGTCAGATGTATTTTTCATCAAACTCTCATTGGTTCCTACTTTCTCAGTCATCATGTACTCACCAGAGAACAGAATCCATGGATGGCCACTAGGGTCAAAGGAAGGCCGATACAAATGATAATGCATTTCACCACATCCAAGATTTTTTGTTCTGTATTAAAGTAGATGGTGGTGCTGTCATCGTAGCTTCTGTTCTGTGAGGTGATGTTAATGAAGGAATCTTCCATTCTTCACTGTGAAACCTGTTTGAGAGATCAGCAAGTGTTTTAACATCTACCTCACATTGTTCAGTGATAATACTAAAGCTGTGAAGTGCTGTTCACACAAATACAGTACAACTATAGTTCAGGATAAATCTTAGTGATCCAGCATTTTAGCACAAATCTCAAGTTACTGGTATTTAAGGCAAGAGAGGGTAAAAACAGAGACTAAATACAACTGTAGATTACTGTACACCTACAGTCCAGTCCCCTTGTTATGTATCAACACCTTTACACTTTTAATGTATTAGGTTAAACATTGATTAAGAGAAGTAATGTAACACAAACTTTACCTTTGAAAGCTGGTGGACCACAATCTGGATGTGCTTCTTTCACCAGAGTCTGCTGTTTTCTCCTCTGTATCCACAGTCTAGTGATGTGAAATGCAGTAATGTAGCAAGATATGAAACGAAGGAGGTTCAGGATGATGTGATCTCTCTCTCTAAGGAAGATGTGGTTTTCTAAAAAATTCATTGCTGTGTCATTCTTGCCACAGATATGCAGATGCATGACTTCTCTGTGTCTGTTTCTTCCTCTGTTATTTTTTATTAAAAATGTAAAACCAAAGCTTATTTTTTAATGGTTCCTTGAATACAACTTGCAAGTAAGATTTAAGGAGAAATGTTGTCAGAAAGGTGTGGGGGATGAGTGGGTGCTCAACCATCTGACAGAAAGTTCAGATGATAGTGATCATACTCTGCTCTGAGTGTAGTGACGCCATTAGTTAGTTTATATTAGTTCAAACTGTGAGACCTGCAAAACAATTTACTATATGTGATGTAAACAGAAAATTGACATTGAATAAAGGTAAACAAGCAGGATTTACTTTATTAAAAAATAAATTTACAACAAACCACAAAAACTTACTTTACTATAAAATAATTTACAAAATAAAACAACAACAAAAATACAGTTGTGGTTAGACACTATTTATAAGCAGGAAAAAGTCAAACTTGCAGAAAACAGACCAAATAAAGATCTAAGAATGAGAGAGATGTGGTTATATTGGCAGAGTGATCATGCTGCTGATTATCTTCAAATAATATAAGGTTTGTTTTTGTGATTAAAGTGTAATAATGATATACATGAACTTTTTATAGAACATTTTATGTACATGTCTTGAAGCTTTCACAGTGCACCGCAGCAAGTGAACCTACAGTTAGATGTCTTGTAGGAAATCATGTGAGAAGACGACAGTATCTGTCTTGTCTCTATTTCCTCCATTTCTTCTTCTGTTTTTCTCTCTTTCTCTGCCTACATGGAGCGACTGTGTATAAGTTGTCATCATTCATTCTGTTGGTCTGTTTCTATCATCGCTGTCCATCCTGCAACGACACAGAGAGGCCAACAGCTTGTCTACAGCTCCTTTCCTACTGAAAACATACAGGAACACGTCTGCAAGAGGACTCAACCTTACAAACATGAAAGACACATGTGCGAGGGCATCGTTATATTTGACTTCTTCTACAAGGAACCAAATGATGTTGGGCAGGAACAACAGTGTGTAAATAAGCAGAACCAGAATCAAAATTGCAACAATTCTGCGTTTTTCATCAGCAGGGACACTACTGGCTGCAGACAGGGCTTTAACGGTCCCACCCAGGAAGAATATGAACAGAGGGAAGGGAAAGAGAAAGAAGACTCCAAAGATGATTTGTGTCAACTGAGTATATAGCAAGATATAGACAAATACAAAAATCAAAAGAGGAAGGGTCCAGACCAGGACACAGACCACTACAGAGGTCTTGATGGTTCGTCTGAAGCGGTACCACAGCGGCCAGGCGATGACCAGATACCTGTGATACAACATAGACACACAGATTCTTTGTAGAGCATCTGAATTATATTATATATAATTCATTCATTTTCTACCGCTTATCCTCTAGTAGGGTCGTGGGGGGCTGGAGCCTATCCCAGCATCCTTTCGGGCGAGAGGCGGGGTACACCCTGGACAGGTCGCCAGTCCATCGCAGGGCACACAGAGACAAACAACCATTCACTCT